AAATTAGTGAAAGTGGAAACTAATTTATCATGAATAGTAGGATAGAAAATGTATTAAAATTAATATATATATATTTTATAAACTTCTAATGTGCATCTTAATGAGTTATCCTGTATGCAGTTTTTTTCAGCCTTACCAGGGAAATCAGACAGGAAACACAACCAGATGAACTAATTCTACATTATTTTAAGCCTACATTAAAACAATCTTATAAGTCTGAAAGCACAAAACTCCTGCTATTTCTTTTATACTCCAAGAAAATAGGGAGGGTCCCTTATGAGTCTCTTCCTCTGTCTATTCCCTAAGTAGCACCACTTCATCCAGTCTCCCAAGGGCTTTCCCACATACCATTACAGGGTGCATGTGTTTTTTAATACAAAAGTTGCAGTGTAGCTTACAGTTACAATTAGGGTGGATCTGATTTTAATCAAGTCGATTTAAATCATGATTTTTAAAGAGCAACTGTCATCTCTATACCGTAGCGGCTCCTGTGATCCGCTGTTAACTCACTGATAGTCCCATTCACTTTAATGGGATGGCTGCTGATGCAGCTGTGACACAACAAGATGAGGGACATGGCGGGCAGCAACTGAGTGGATGCCTGCTAACAGGCACTGCCATGATGGATCTGAAATGACAGGTGCTCTTTAAATGTAAGGACTCATTCTTGCAGGTAGTAAGAATCTTTCAAATTATTATTTGCAAATAAAATGAAGGTTTCCTATTTAGCTTGCAGAACTTGGATTCACTGAATGAGTTTACCAAAACTGTAAATATTTCAGAATATAAACCTCATGCTACATAACTAAGCTCAATTTCATGCTGAAAAAACTAAATTATTAATGTATCTTAAATAGAAAACTATCTTTAGATAGATTTTTACTCCAAAAGCATTTTATTAGAATAAATTTTATAAAAATAAAAAAAAATTGATTTACCATATTTTTCGGTGTATAAGATGCATTCCCCCCCCAAAAAAATACTTGGGGGGAAATGTCTGGGAATCTTAAAAAGTGAATAAATACCCCGCCCACCCGCCGGCCCCCAACCTTCGGTCTCTGCCTTCCAGCAATTTACCTCCTTGCAGCAAACAGCAAAAAGCCCGGTCAGCTTCAGCACAGCCTGATTTAGCACAAGCAGCTGATTGGCGGTTGGATCGGCTTCCCGGAATACCACTTATCAGCTGTTCCAGGCTGCAGGTATTGCCAACACCGTCACCACTCATCACTGCTGCTGCCTATCACCACCTCCACACACCACATTTTCAGCCTCCATGCGTCCTCTTTTTGGCCCATTCCAGCTGGCGGGGATAGTGGTGGCAGTGATCCCTGCCTCCTGGAACGGGCCAAAAATGAGACATGTAGAGGCCAAAAACAGGCTACGCGGAGGCAGCAATAGGCCACAGCAGCAATGGGCGGTGACAGGTGGTGGTTATCCCCCCAGCTGGAACAGCTGATAGGCAGAATTCTGGAACATCAATCCAACCGCCAATCAGCTGCTTGTGCTAAATCAGGTAGTGCTGAAACTGACCAAGCTGTTTGCTGTTTGTTGCAAGGAGATAAATTGCTGGGAGGCAGAAGGAGATTTTTTTTCCCTTGTTTTCCTCCCCAAAAGCTACATGTGCCTTACACTTTGTACCTTCTTATAGTCCAAAAAATATGGTAAGTAAAAAAGATTTTTTTTTTAAATCATCAATTTTTATCCACCCTGATTACAATTTGTTTCACTTAATATAGCAAGAGTTTTCAAACTGTGGGTGGCAATTCCAGGGGACACAAACAATTTTGATGTGATAAAACTCTGGCTTACACATGGATATGTTGTGGTTTTTGTCAAGCCACTGCCTTTTTGCTCACAGCAACAGCCCAAACTCACTCCTGTGCAGGACTATGAAGCTTCCCCCTCATCTTACCTTTTCCCTTCTCCATGGGCCGGGACATGTACTTCTGATTCTTGCCCTAGTTTTAGACTTGGGGAGAGAGAAAGTCTTGGATTAGTGGTATATGACATGGAGTTATATTTGGAACAGAAGATCTACTTGCTTGGCCATGATTTTAATTGTGTTAATTATAATGTGTGTTTTTAAAAATTGTTCTAGGCTTCCTTGAGTGTGTACATAAACAGAAAAATGAGGGTCTACAGTCAATAATTAAAAAAATCTTTAGAGAGTGGATTAACAGGACCTCAAGGTACAGTTTTATAAATGGACTTGTGAGAAAGAAGGAGGGGATACAATGGAAAGAGAAAATGTTACTATTTGTTATGTTTCATTATATTACTAAGATATTAAAAAGTGCCTCAGGCATATAGGAGCTGTTTTTAAGCTAGTGCATTCTAAGTCTGTTATGTAGCTCCCCTCCCTCTTTTCCCCCTAGTTATCAGTATCAAATAAATAGGTTTTTTTTCAATCTCTATGAAGCATGCAATTCCCTGTCTGATTTCAGTTTTTAAAAGTTTTTAGTAATGCATTTATGTTAATTATGGAGTATTTTCATCTCATCTCCTAACAAAAAGATATGGCTGTAGAAAAGTATTATGGCAATATAATTAAAATTTCTTTTAACAGAAACACTGTAATAGACATCTTGCCATGCTTATGTTATTTTAATTGGATGTTTGGCTCTAGGGAAGTTCATAAATTATTATAAAATTTTAATGTTAATAAAATTAGCTAAAAGGAAATTGCTCTTAATTCTATTGATTATGCATTAAGGACTAAGGCTTTATTTTATTATATCTAACAATAAAAATAGGTTTAATATATCAAGGAACACGATATTGTCAGGGGCAAAAAAATAGGTCCACATCTAAAGGTTCAATTAAGCCAGAGGTGAAATGCTCCCGGTTCGGACCGGATCACCCGATCCGGTAGCGATGGCGGCAGGTGGTTTGGAGAACTGGTAGCAAAAATCCCTGCGCACCCCCCCCCACCATGCCCAGCTGAGCCACAAGATCATCATCATCTACAACCTCTTCCGACAAAAAAGTGCTTTTAAAAGTAAAAAAAAAAATGCCTCTGATGATCACGCGGCTCAGCTGCGATCGTCAGAGGCCTTTCAAAGTATTTTTTTTCTGCAACCTCTGGGCTGAAGGGGTGGTAAAAAAAATGCTTTGAAAAGTCTCTGACAATCCCAGCTGAGTTTCCTAATCGTCAGAGAGGCATTTTTTAAAAAGCCTCTCTGGCAATCCCAGCTGAGTTGCCTGATCGGCAGAAGCTTTTCAAAGCATTAGAAAAAATGCTTTGAAAAGTTAAAAAAAAAAAAGTTGGCCACGCCCACCCAGTCACATTACCCCCCCCCCAAGCCATACCCACAGAACTGGTAGTAACAAATTTTACATTTCACCCCTGAATTAAGCTAATTTATTTCTAAAAGCCTATGGACAGGAATCTTAACTAATGGTCAGCACTTGCTTAGAATTAGATAAGGGTCAACGGCACTCAAGGGGAGGTTGGTTTAGTTTGCTTGTGGTCATGTAGGGATTCTAGGCTGATCCCCCTTTTCACTCCATCTCCAGGTTCTGTCATTCCTTCTACTACAAATATTAATTGAAGTGGGCACTAGTTCTTCCAAATAGTGAGCTAATCAGCATGGCATTATTTGGTTTATCTCCCACACTGATTAAGATACTGATATATATTTTGCAGTATGCTGGACACATGTTTGGAACTGATGGCAGTGTGGGAGGCATCAAGACAGTAGTATTCCCTTCATTCTTTCTAAAAATTCTTTGAATTACCTCTGAATTAATCCAGTATAGTAAAGCAGATATTTCTGCCACAGTTATCAACCTGTAAACTGCCTATCCTTGGACAAATGAAATGTAATAACGATGCATTTAGGGAGATTCAATTTACTACTTTCATCAACTATGTTATATGTGATTTCTGTAATAGAAATATTTCACCAGTCTTAAATATGCTCTCTGTGAGATAGAGAAGGTAAAAATATGGAAGGTGGTGATGGCTTTTATTATTAGGTTTTTTGGGCAACTTTATTGTTGGATTTGCTTCTCTTCTTTAACCCTGCACATTGGAATAAAATGGCACCTTAGTTGATAAATATGAAAAATTATTAAAAGCTCCTCTAGGTTAAATACTATTACTCATGACTTTTACTTTAATATTGATTTAAAATGTAGGAAGCTTTTCAGTGAGCTGTATAATTTTATTTTTACTTTTCTCTTCACTGCCTATGTTATTTATATTACTACTCTCATGGGCTATTATAAACAATTTCCTGTCAGAATTTTGGTTTGTTTTGATTTTGGTTCTTTGTATAATTTTAGGAAGATATCTCTTTACAAATAACCAGAAACAAAGTATGAGTCATTCTTCTGCATATCTTGACTGTTAGCACTTAAAAGAAACTTCTGAATTTTTATTTAAAAATTAAAAAAAAACAGATTGAAGTTACAAATTATTTTGTTTTCAAAGTATTCACTTGACTGAATAGTGCCCTCAGAGAAGACGGACATTTTTTGGCCATTGACCATATTTAAAATTTTACACTAATTTTTTATATCTTTAATTTCTTTTCAACTAAATTTATACTGTTAGCGCATAGTCACATTCCTCATAAGAATGTAGAAAATATGTTCCCACTCTTCTGCAATTTTTTTAACCAACCCATATAATCTACCAATGTAATATTATTTTGGTTGTATACTCTCTGAAGTTCAAGCATTTTTATCAGGATTTATATATGATCTAGAACTTAATGAATTATCAAGTCCACTATATCACCAGGTGACCTCTGTCTCTTCTGTCCCCAGGAAGCATATGATTTCCTTTCTGATTTTAATTCTTAAAACATTTTTAGGAATGTGTTTAGATTAATTATGTTTTGAATTCATCTCATCTCCTAACAAAACATAGCCCAAAATAAGCCCAAAATAACCTGCTATAAACTCCATAATGAATATATTTATGCTTGAAAATTAAATTGACATGGTTTAGTTAATATTTCCCTGATACAATGCTATTCTGTTTTTTTCCCTAGATGCAGCAATTGTTTCATGAAAACTATGAACGCAACCGGAAGGGTTACATACAGGATCTTCACAACAGCAAAATTCACACTGCAATTACACTTCATCCAAATAAAAGACCAGCCTATCAGTATAGACTTCATAACTACATATTGACCCGCAAAATTTCAGAATTGCGTTACCGCACCATCCAGCTCCATCGAGAAAGTGCTCTCATGAGCAAGCTCGGTAATGATGAAATAAGCAAAGAAGATCAGCTTCTGGGAATGACGCCATCTTTCAGTCGTTTCCAGCCCCGTGACAGGAATGAAGTCATTGAATGGGATTTTCTCACTGGAAAGCTCCTTTATTCAATAGCTGAGAATCAGCCACCTAGACAAAACATTAATAACATCCAGCGAGCAGCATTAGATGACACTGTAATGCAGGTAATGGAAATAATCAATGAGAACTCTAAATCTAGAGGAAGGCTTATTGACTTCAATGAAATACAGTATGGATACCGCAGGGTTGACCCTTTGCACGGTGTAGAGTATATACTGGACTTGCTGCTTTTATATAAAAGGCACAAAGGAAGAAAGGTCACTGTTCCAGTTCGAAGACATGCTTACCTTCAACAATTATTTAGTAAACCTTTTTTCAGAGAGGAAGAAGAACTGGATGTGAGAAGTGTGATGGAAAATGAGCAGAGTGATACACAATCCCTGTCTTTCCTTTCTAATTCCCTGAAGATGTTCTCACCATTTAAAGACACCAAAGAATTAAGGGGAAGCAATAACAAGAAGATACACATTCTTGTCCCTCTCACAGGAAGATACAATATTTTCTTGAGATTTATGGAGAATTTTGAAAAGACCTGCCTTGTTACACAGCAGAACGTGCGGCTGGCGGTTATTCTCTTTAGCCCAGACTCTAGTCAGGAGTCCAGTAAACATATAGAATTGATCAATGCATATCGCAATAAGTATCCAATGGCAGACATCACTGTTATTCCTATGGCAGGAGCTTTTTCAAGAGGTTTGGGTCTTGAAATGGCTTCCTCTCAGTTTGATAATGATACGTTGCTATTATTCTGTGATGTTGACCTAATATTTACTCCTGACTTTCTTCAGCGGTGTCGAGCTAACACCATCCAAGGAGAACAAGTTTACTACCCTATTATTTTCAGCCAGTATGACCCCAAAGTAACCTATGGAGACCACCCTCCTGTGGACAGTTATTTTGTTTTCACTAAGAAAACAGGATTTTGGAGAGATTATGGGTTTGGTATCACTTGCATTTATAAAAGTGATCTTATAAATGCAGGCGGATTTGATACCTCAATTCAAGGTTGGGGACTTGAGGATGTAGACCTTTTTACTAAAGTGGTAACTTCTGGCTTGAAGGCATTTAGAAGCCAAGAAGTGGGGGTTGTGCATGTGTTCCATCCGGTTCATTGTGATCCCAGTCTAGAGTCTAAACAATACAAGATGTGCTTGGGGTCTAAAGCAAGTACATTTGGCTCTGCAATGCAACTAGCTGAAATATGGCTAGAAAAGCATTTAGGTCTTAGGTATAATCATACTTTCTCCTGATATTTTAACTGGGACTGGCTTCCTAGGAGAAGTTTACCTCATTGCTTTTTCATTTCATCATTGCATTCTTAAACTTCTCTTTGTCTTCCAAAGGATTTGTCTTTGACCTTTAACAAACATCTATTAGGAATATTGGAGATTCCTGCTGAACTGATGTGTCTTTCTGCTCGTGATCCATAAACTGAGTGAAATCATTGCAACAGAACAGTTGCATAGATAACATCCATCACTAGGACCACATCAGAAGAATAGTTTCTTTGGACTTCAGGATGCAATATTGATCTTGATTGTGTCTGTCAAACTTAATGTGATACAAATATTTTTCAGTGAAGGTATCACAAAAGTGCTTTATGCTTCCTCTGGGAAAGAGACTCTGGCAAACTTGAGTTTTATAATTTATATGAGGACTGAAATAAAAACTATTCTTTATAATTTTTAAGTAATAAATAATGGACTCATCTATTTTTTAAAATAAGGGAAAAATACATTTTCCAGGTGCAATGGTACTGGCTACCAAGACCCTTAAACAGCATATCAAATTGACCTCTTCAGTACTCTGCAAATGGACTGTATTTTCTCGAGAAAACATATCATAATCAGATATTTGCATATGTTGAGAAGGTTATGAAACAATCACTTTCATTTGCTGGCAAGAAGAAATCATGACACAATATGAGTATTTATAATAAAGAATAGGCATGTGATCTTGTGTTTTCTAAGACAAGAATATTTTGCTTTGTTTCTGTTTAGATTGAACGTCTAATATATACATAGTTTTCTAATTCCTTTCATAAGACTGCACTTGTTACAAAGGGAAATCAAAGGGTACTTAATATTGTCTTTTTATAATTCTGTGTTAATATTCATATTCTGAATCAATTGTTGTTAAACTTTAAAGAAAATGTAATTATTTAACTATGAAAGTACTATTGCTGGTCAAAGTTCTTGCAAATATATTTATAATAGTGAAGATATATAGAAAGTGGAATGTGTTAAGGTTTCCTTCTCTGTAAAATCCAAAAATTCCAGAAAATATATTACGGATACTGAAAAAATATTAGATGGTTATGTTCTGTTAAAATGAACACAAGCCATGACCACATTATCATTCATATAGTGATTTGATCAAATTTATGACATGTAACTGTAACATTTTTAAAAAAACCTGAAACATTCCCAAGAAATATATGTCAACCCTGATGACCAATATAATGTGATCAGCTTTAAAGAACATAAGAAGCATCTCTAAATAAATAATATCTGGTATTTTTAAGAAAAGGTGCTGAACAGTATATGTTATAATGGCCATGATAGAATCTGAACATTGCCTGAAACATCTAATGGAATCTGCAATTCTCACAATTTAATTGGCACATAGCATGCTCGCTTTGGCAATATATATATTAAACTAAATTGGAAAAGAGCAAGAGATAGGCATTCTGAATAAGATATATTTGTATCTTATTCAATTTTCTTTTACAAATAAGAATAACCATGGCAACGATGTTGCAGAATCAAGATTTTATTAACTTAGATTAAGTATAGTAAGAAATACATATTTAGTGATGAACTCAATAGGTTTAGAAATTCAGGACAAAGCAACATAGTCTCTTGACCATTACACCAAAGATTCTTCCTAGATGTTATTTTTCTTTTGTATATTCTTTTTTGTCACAGCATGTTATGCTAGTATTTTCTCGTGACAGTGGTAATTTTTCTCATTTTAGATATGACTCGCAGCAGTGTTCCAATTCTGTGTGCCACATTTATACCCAGGTATAATTTCATTTCACATCTATGTATGCATGTATAAATCCCACTGCTGTATAATTAGTCCTGATTCAAAATTACATACTGCAAATTCTTCCCAGATCAATAGCAATTAGCATATTTTATTTTTATGATTGGGTATTCTACAGTACCAACTTCTAGCTTCATTGCATATCTGCTGTAGCAAATAAGCTACTATTTTTAGTTGGCCCATTACTTAATATTTAATGTCTATGTAAGATGAAGTTTGCCCACATTCTCATACTCATAATTAGCATATGGAATATCAAAACTATAATAGGAATTTAGAGAATCAATTTGGTGTAATGGTTAAAGTGCTAGATTAAAAGCCAGGAAACTGTGAGTTCTCATCTTGCCTTAGGTACAAAGTCAGCTGGATGACTTTGGGTCAATCTTCTCTCTCAGCCTTAGGAATAAGGCAGTGGCAAACTATTTCCAAAAATATTGCCAAGAAAATAATGTGGTTGCCATGAGTCAAACCTGACTCAGAAGTGAAATAATTAAGCATACATGAGATATGCAAAAAAAAAAAATCTATTTTATCTTCACAAATGAGATACTAGGTTATTTTATAAGATAGAGTATAGGCAAACAGATTTTAAGGCAAACAAATAATTTGATGTATTTATATTACCTGTGGCAACTCCTTAAAATGCACTCTGGAGCTTCTCTGTCAAGCCCTGGGTTAATCAGAACATCCAAGCAGTTCAAATGAGTATAAAGATTTATTTCAAGCTTATGTTGTCTACAAGACAGCCAAGCAAATTGGCGGTAGTTAAATTCAAAGAATTCAAAGGAATTCAAGGTAGGCTGGATTTAGTTCTCTTGTGGGTGTGAAGGAACTCGTAACTGATAACACCTTTGACCCCTCCCTCAGGCTCAGTCTGATTATCTTCTACAACCATATTCCCAAATGGCTGCTTTAAAAAGTTGCAAGCAGGTGCTATGCTTGCACCTCAGCATACTCCATAACATCTTTTTGGAGATGTCAAATCCAGAATGCTGCCTAGACCTATCAGGTTAAAGAATACTTATTACTTTGGGACTTAGAAAGAGTAATGCAAATTTTAAAAATTCTGTCTGAATTTGTTTCGTAGTTATAGAGTGACATGCACAACTACTTGTGAAAACCAAAACCTTGTCCCCCAAAATGTGTATTCTTACTACATTGTCATATTGTAATTTCCTTTTCTAGACAATTTTTTTCTTTATCTGTTGTTTGGGACACAGATATTTCTTGTTAACTTGAAGTTATTAAAATGTCAATTAACTGTATTTGAAGAAGCTAAGCTTTCCCTGGTAATTTCAAATGCAAAAAATCATGAGAGTTTACCTTAACTCCTTGATAAAAATGTTGAATATTTGTCCATAGCCTTAAATTAACATGGTTTGCTCGGACAAAATTTCAACATATAGCGTGAACTGAACTTGATGACTGTACAGGGAATTCTGTGTACAAAAGGACTTGCCGGATCGGGTCCTGAACTGAAAAAAAAAATGAAATGTCAATTCTTATTCTTTAGAGATATTTATTTAGTGTATGACCAATTCATTTGTTTACATGATGGATTACTTTGTTGTAAACTGGATTATAAATGTTTGTTATAAAATATTGTGTTGTCTTTGGAATAACTGTTCTCAGATAAATTGTGTTAGTTGATTTGTGGCAGGAGAGCCATTTTAATGATGACATAATCATAATGGATGCAATTTTGCTGTATTCAAGTGAGCAGGAACTGTGCCAAGGAACTCACTGGTGTTTATTCCGGATTATCATAGTGCCTTGCAAGTACACTCCCAATGAATTATACTTGCTGTTAAGACATTTTGCAAAACAGATTCAAATAATGTATCTTTCTCCCTCTCCCTTTTCAAAAAGATTGAGGAGAAAATGAGATTGGTTCCTTTTTTTTCTTCAAACATGGCTGTGCCCAGCACCATCAAACCAATCAAGAAGCATACACACTCACTGCTTAGCCAAAGTCTTTATTTAAACAAAGCAAAAACACCCCCTTCTTAATGTATAATAATGTATAATTAAGAATTCTTAATTCTATAATGTAATGGCCATTATAGGGGTGACAAGATGAGCAAAAGGGGGAGGACTATTTGACCAAGGAATCCTGTCAAACTAACCCTATTACTGCCACAATTGGTGCTGAAATAATTCAGCTGGTAAGAGTAAGCTTTACATCCATAAATTCTTTAATTTGAAGCAAACCAACACTGTCACTTTCAGAAGGCTGAAAGGGATTGGACCTTTAGTTTCTGTGCTTTAAGTATTGGTTAATCACTATCATAGAAAAGATCAATGATAAATAACATAAAGGTTTCCCTGTCCAGTCATGACCGACTCAAGTGGGTGGGACTCCTCGCCAATTCTCAGTCAAGGGAGCCTGTGTTGTCTTGACAGATTTTTCCTTCAGCATGTGCCCAGCATGAAAATATAGAACACAGTAACCTTCCCATTAAAGTGGTACCTGTTTATCTAGTTGCATGTGCATGCTTTCAAATGCTGGGTTTGCAAGAGCTGGGCTAAGTAGTGGGAGCTCACCTCATCACGCAACACTCAGGTCTCAGGCCCAGGGTATCAGCTTTCCAGCTGACAAGCTCAGCATCTTAACTGCTGAGCCATCGCATCCCCTCCAAAGTAATATAAAATAACATAACCTACTTTTAATCAGGGCAGCACTCATTTTACATAAAGGCAAATGCCCAAATCAAATGAGGAGTTTTTTCCCTTTTGCTAAATCTTTTTCCATCATCCTCTAGTTAACAGAATTCCATGATTCATTCTTCCACTACTGCATCCCAGGATTTTCTTACTTTCTGGCTTCCTCTTTACCACATATTTTTTTAAAAAGTACAGATATTTCTGGTCTTGGTTTAAGGATATCCACTTTGCTGAAGGGTTTCTAGTTCTGTTGCTGATAGTTTCCAGGTTCTTACCACAATAGTTCAACAGCCTCATGAATGTTATTACTTTATTGCTTCCTTCCCTGGCTCAGTCAGCAATCCCTTTAAAGTCATGGAATTCCAAAACCAATCCTTTCTCGGTTTCAGAAATAAATGCTGTCAGACAAGACTTAGTTCCAGCCCAGAAAAACAGCATGATTAGGTTATTTTCAGTAGTGTGGAATTTTTAATAACACGACTACTGGTTTAATAAATGTAAATTCAACATTGTTGGGTTAGAATGCATTAGTTCTGTGTTATTTTAAAGACAGCACCATTTTGATTTTAAAATCTGTAGGTTTTTTTTAATGCATTCAAATCTTCATCTCTAACATAAATATTAATATTTTTATCAAAATTGCCAAATTATAAACTTATTTTTCAATAAACTATTTTAAAAATGCATTTTTAAAAGTCAGTGTAATAGTTAAAGTGTAATTGGGCTAGAACCACGAGACATGAGTTCTAGTCCTGCTTTAGGCCCAAAGCCAGCTGGATGATCTGTCACCCTTAGCAATAAGACAATTACAAATTTATATATACACACAATTTTATTAAGAATTTTGTTTATAATAGTAAAATCTAATATCTAGTAAAAAAAGAATAGAAAGAAGTAGAATGTGGAAGAAAAAAGAGAAAATAATAATAAAAGAAAGGGAAAAGAAATAAAAAGTGAATTCCAATCTACCACACAAATCTGAACAAATTTAAGAGACTCTTTACCCCCTTTAAGCTTACAAACATCTCTTCATTTCATATCCTATCTCTTATCTATAAACAAATCTATAAAACATAATCTTTTCAGTTTCAGTCAACAGAAAGTCCATAAAGGATAACCAGAAGCAACCAACTTTTCCTTTCAAACAGTCTTAATCTTTAGTTCATTCAGATATTATAATATTTGATTTACTTGCATTTAACTTGCATTTCTCTTTTAAATTTTAAAATTTCAGTCAGTTTCTTTTTTAGATCCAGTGAAACATCCCTTTCTAAGCGAATAGAATAGAGTAGAGTAGAGTAGAGTAGAGTAGAGTAGAATAGAATAGAATAGAATAGAATAGAATAGAATAGAATAGAATAGAATAGAATAGAATAGAATAGAATAGAATAGAATTCTTTATTGGCCAAGTATGATTGGACACACAAGGAATTTGTCTTGGTGCATATGCTCTCAGTGTACATAAAAGAAAAGATACATTCATCAAGAATCATAAGGTACAATACTTAATGATAGTCATAGGAACAAATAAGCAATCAAATCATATTAGGAAACAGTCAATATAAATTGTAACGATACCAGCACAACATTGTCTTGGTCTAAATTTGTTCTACATCTGCCATTTCTTTAATAACATCTTTTGGACATACTGTAGTTTATCCATAGAAGTAATCATCCCTAACATTATTGATATTGTGGGTATTATTCTTCAAAAGTCTCCTTCAATATTTTTATTCTATAAACTTTTAACAACATTTTATGGACTTGTAAAACTTCTTTATCTAAAAGCTTTAGTTCTCTTTTGTGTCCAGCTTTTCAAATCATGAAATTGGTTATCTTTGTTTTGCCTTGTAAAAATCAAAACAAGAACTATCTCCCACAAAAAGCTGTTTGTTCTTTAAAACATCAAAAATCTTAATGTAAACATTTCAATACTTCAGTTTTATCTGGACCCTTACTCCATTTATGATTTTCTAAGATGAAAAAAGCTCCTTGCTGTTTAGTTCAGATTCTTTACATCCTTAAGCTTATAATTAAATTTTTCTTTCATTCACAACTCTACCCCACGTTTTCAAATTTGTCATTCTGAAGGCCTCTTAAGATCACCAGTTACTTGGCTTTTCCCCTAGTCAATGGCTCTGCTTTTATAGAGCCCTCTTCAATTTTGCATACCTTCCCAAGAAATGCTTGCAATGGTAAACTTTTCTCCAAACACCTTGTCAAGAAAACTGCAGGATCCAGACAGTCATTGAGTCCATACTGAGTTAAATGCACCACTCAAATCACAGTTGGAAGAGCTGCCATCCGAAGAATATCTACAGTCCAAATTGACATGCGCAACAAAATCATTACTACATATTTCAAAATGTTCAGTAATGTTCATGTTTTCCTACCCTAATGTAAAAGGCTAATAATGATAGAAAAATGTGATTAATTGATATAAACTATAAACATGATATTTAAAGATGATGGAATGCTTTGCTGATGTTTAAGAGTTGAATCCTTATCAGGGTTTTTGGGTCAAGGATTTGGATTTCAGAAACATCAAACTCCTCATATTAAATGTATCCGATTTTATATACTGTAAATATTAGACAACCCATAATCCATTGGGTCATCCTTTCAGAGATATTTCTTCATCTAAACAGGGAAATGAAATAGCCATGAGTAGGCAAAAATACAATGGGAAGAGGAGCAACTTCCAACTTTATGGCAAGGAGTTTGGAAATCACTCTCCTTCCTCAGCTCTCCCTTTTACAAAATTATCTGCCACTTTGCTGAGGGGAGGGGGAACAAATGGAACTGAGGACTGCAAGGAAAACTCCATGCTTGCTCCCCATTCTGGCATGTCCCCAAGGACTCCCTCCAGAGATTAAAGAATCTCACCTGTTAACTGCTGGCAGCCTCCATTCAGCCTTACCTCACCAACAGCCATATGTATCAGTCTCTCATCCTTCCCTCATGGCAAACTCCATTCACCTATCAAGCATTGCCACCAGCCGATTAGGTGCAAGAACAGAGGGAGGTAGGAAATAGTGCAGGGATACCACCTTCCCTTGTGCAACTCAACCTACAGGTTTCTGGAAAGTACAGCTGGAAAGTTCAGAGGCCTTGAATGGTCACAACTTCTCCAAATTTCATTTCCCCAGGAACCGTGAGTTCCAGCACTCCGTAAGTTAGCTCATTTGTTTTTCCTTGGTTCAATAATAGTTACCATATACCTCCCAATTTCACACAACTGCGGGTTATAAACAGACATGTAAATTTTAGTCATATATACATAGATACAGAATATAGACATTAATAATGAAACTTAGTTTTTATAATGTGAAAGGAATTTTTGCCCAATTATCGGAACTTATTAAAAATCTTCCCTTTGCCAAGTGAAAGGTAGGATACATGAGAGAGAAAATCCTCACATTTCAAGATATTTCCACTTATTTCAGAGAAAGTCCAAGAAGTCAATAAATAATTTGAACAGTGTGTTCATTTCTTCTGAAAAGCTGAATTTAACTGTGGAGAGGGGAAAAAATTGTCGGTCATTCTAGATGAATAGCTTGATTATTACAGTAATGTTATTGGCTTCTAAACCATAATGATCTCTTAATGTCTGAAATTTAATATGGATTTCATAGAACTGGGCTTTTATTAGATAAGATTTTAAGATTCATTAAAGAAAAGCCTAGGTTTTATTCTATTCTCATGGTAACACGATTTTACTGTATTAGCCACTAACTGATGTCATTAAACTAGCAGGTGTAAATTCTGCTTTTTTTCCTCCTTGAGCATAAAACTCCTTAGAAGAAAAAATAAAGCGTATACATTGAGGAAAGAAATGGATATAAGCAGTGGTGGGCTGTTGCCGGTTCGGACAAGTTCAGGCGAACCGGTAGTTCTGACTATCAGATGGCCCCTCCCACCCACACCAGCCCTATCCTGTCCTACAAATTCCTTCTTTCTAGTTCAGCAGATTTGCAGGGCACAGCTGATTTCCATGCCTCTGCTGTTCTATTTACCGGGGCTGTCTTAGAAGGTAAGCAGCTGAGCTTCAAATTGCTGTATTTTGAACACTGCACGCAAGCGCGTTAGGCGCATGTGTGCGCACGTGAAGTGCGCGCTCACAAAACCGGTTGCAGCCCACCACTGGATATAAGTAATATAAACTAAAAATATAGATGAATTGAGAAGGGTGTTACTCAATTCTGTGCATAGACTGGGGTTTTTTGTGCCACAGTTTTGAAGAGACATCTAAAAATTCTTCACAATCTAGGAGAGTAATGTTCTCTTAAATTAACATTTTATGCTTTAGAAGTTTGCACATTCTTACTGACATGGTATGCAGTTTTTATGTACTATCTTTTAGAACACATGGAAAAGACCAATAATTTAAAATGTTGGAGGGTTAATCGAGGTTTAGGTACTCTCAAAAACTGCTACAATGGAAGTTTGAACAGCATAGAACACTATTGCTGATGGCATACAAAATAAGTCCTTTTGAAGGAGTCACTGAAAACCCTTGGCCTTGAATTTGGGGTAGACTTGCAGAGGCAACAAACTTCAGTGTATTTATGGCACTTCTGTTGTTTGGGGCTAGTAGAACATATAATTAACTTTGCCAAAAACAGCAAAGGGAGCAATATAGGAGAAGGAAAGCACAATATTAGACTCACGGCCATGGAGAACATAGTGTGAGAGGAATGGGGTTGGATATATATATATATTTAATGTTGCAGCAGTGACACTGGAAAAAGCCTCTCCTTCCATAGATCCCCAGTACTCCTTTCCCTGAGCAAAATCCCACATTTTTGAATGCTTGATTAGCATTGCAAATAGAGGGGCATCTGTTTACAGTCCAGTCTGATGAATATTTATTGCATTTGAATTGCTGTTTTTCTGGAAGCTCAAGGCAGCATAGATAGGAGTATCCCATAATCGTGTTCCCCATAACAGATACATGCTGTAGAGGAGAATCTTTGAAGAAGGGCTGCAAGGGCAGCTATATAAACATCAGTTTATCTTTGAAAGAATGGAAGAAGCGAAAAGGAACTTGAAAGTTATCCTTGATTCTCTTTGGTATAAAAGAGTGGAAAGAGGCTTCCAAGGTTTGGTTATTATACTCTGCAACACTAATATAAAAGGATGGAGTCTGTTTTCTGGTCTGGTCTACCATAAAGAGCTGATCCTCTGTAAAGTAGAACCAAAATGACTGGATCACCTTGATGAATTCTCTGCAACCTGGGTCTTTTCAGTCCAAGTACATCCTAGTGGAGGTTTCTGCAAACCTAATGCCTTCAAGATGTTTTATACTAGGAAGTAGAGAAAATGAATGAAATAACTTCCTATCTCATACCGTCATACAAGTTCTTATCACAATTTCAGCTTGTTCAACATTTTTTGAAAGGCGGGAAAGTTCTAATCTTTCAGGCATATGGAGGGATTGTTGAACAGGGACTGGTAGGGAAGCAAGATCTTCTAACTAAAAATGGCACATCTCAGAGCAGGCATTTAAGAAGATTGACTAAGTACATTTCTATTTCTTTTTATTATTATTTTTTTTTGTTACTTTGTTTTATTTTATCAGATCCTATCATTTAACTGTATGCAGCCAGCCTTACCAGTACCGGCTAAGAAACTTTTATTTCCATTTGTCTTTATAAAAAAAGATAATAGGGAAACTAAGAAACAACAGAGTGAATTTTGCTTAAACAATCTAAGTGACAACCCCTCCCCCTGATTTTACAAGATTAAGAGGAATGATAATGTAAGTAATAAGTATAATAATAACAATACTAATGGAACAAGCCTTGAATACCGTAAACAGATGTGATGTGCTGAGTTAGGATTTGCCAGATGAATGTAATAGTCATTTAGCCCAAGGAATTGGAGATCCCCAGGCTCCCAGATGTAGTGGCTCCACCTCCATGGTCCATTCATCTGTACTTACCACAAGCACTTGCCCTGAACAAATCCTTAAAAATGATAACACAGATTTTATATCCAGGCACTACTTATTGACTATACCGACTGCAATTTCAATTTTTTTTCAGAATCTAAAAGCAATAAAAGCAAAAGTGGAATTCTTTGATATATTTATCCTGTCATTCCCAGTAAATTAGCAGTGATTGCCATAGCACAAAACTCTTGGTTTAAAATTGAACAAAATGGGAGTTTACTCAAAAGTGAGACTTTAATATTGAATCCAACAAGAAATTTTAATTGGATTCAGAAAGAGACTCCCTCCTGGTCCATGAGAGACTGAAGGCCTGGAAGTGAAAACAACCAAACCTTACAAATTAACTGAATTTCCTTACATCACTCTTAACTCAATAGTGATTGGTGGGATTCAAAGAAATCAACTGCTTTTCCCTTAAGCCAGTGACTATGCTGTATTGCTGCAACAATACACGATTCATTTCTTGGGGGGGGGGGTTTAAAGTGATGCCCTAGGGAAAAGAGCAGCAAGTGAATTTTATTGACATTTAAGCACCCCACAATTTAAATAAACAATGTTATTTGAAAGAAAGTACCCTTCCTGACCACTCTCCGTACTTCCAAACTGGATATTTTGTGAGGCACAGATTCCTTCGCTTTTTGAATTACGCCAACAAGATGCCATCAGCACTTTAACTGTGAAACTCAAAGTGGCAGCTGCAGATAGCACAATGGCACCAACCAGCAGCACTCTTGAGAGCAGCCTCCTCCGATAAACAGCTGATGGTAAGGATAGGAGGAGAGTGGGTTGCTGAGCCTCTGGTGGCAGAAGTAATTCATCTCTTTGAAGCCCTGCCAAGTTGCAAGCAGGAGGATTTATTGAAGAGACTGAACGATCTCAAGCAAACTTTATCTGCGAGGCATGAAACAGCTGTCCTACTAATCAATTTGATTTTCCTAACCTCCATAGATAGTTGCAAAAATGGAAATGCTTTAGCCCTTCTACAACCCCACCCCTCCCAGGTTAGAAGACCTGAATCTGTCAGAATCAGATTTACCTGATTTGGTGAATCTGTCACCAAATCTGTTCTTGTTGATTTAAACACATCACCCAGAGATACAAGTCTAGCCTGGCAAACTCCCGCACCATCTTTACTGATATTATTTGACACACAATGTACTCAGTAAAACAAAATAAATAAATAAAAATAAAGCAGAGGAGTTATGGGGCAATACTATACAGACTTTCCCTGGTAATATTTCCAGTGGCACCCTTATGACAGAAAGATGACCAAAAGGATGAGGACACTATGCGTTAGAGTTACCCTCAACTCTTACTCAATTCTGGATGTTTTTGCTCATGTAATAATGTGCCCTAATCAAATTAACTTGCAATTAGCAGATTCAAGGCTGTTCTCACTATTATCATGGAATATGGTGGGATGGTATTTTAAGGTAGGAGGTGCTTCTTTTATCCATTTACATCTCTGTGTGACGTCTTTTATTTAAAAACAGACTTGCACCTTATGAGAACAGTA